GGTGTTGGAAAATCAAATTTATCAATACGTTTTACTCGTAATGAATTTTCACTTGAAAGTCGTTCAACAATTGGTGTCGAATTTTCAACGAAAGAAATTCAAGTCGATGGTAAAACAATAAAATTACAAATATGGGATACTGGTAAAAATGACTTTCTTTTTTTTAAATAAAAAGAACGAAACAAATTTTTTATATTTTATATAGCTGGTCAAGAACGTTTTATGACCATTACAAAAGCTTATTATCGTAGTGCCTTAGGTGCTCTATTAGTTTTTGATATTCTTCAAAAATCAACATTTCAAAACCTTGATCAATGGTAAAAAAAATTTAAAAAAAAATTATTTAAAAATTCTTATTTGGTCTTTTTTTGTTGTTGTTAAATAGGTATAATGAAGTACGAGCAAATGCTGGTGTCGAATGTTCTATTATTTTAGTTGGTAATAAAGTCGATCAAGGACATATGCGTGCAGTTGCTTATGAAGATGCTAAACGTTATGCTGAGGAAAGAAATATTACGTAAGACATATTCTATAGTATAAATATTTCAAAGAAAACAAAATTTTTTTAAAGATATATTGAAACATCGGCATTAGATGCAACAAATGTCGAACAAGCTTTTCGCAGTCTTATTGTGGAATTTTATCGTAATTGGGCAATTCGGGCTAAATCAATGGCAGATGAGTCACCACCTGGTAGTCCAATAATAAAACCACTTGTAAAATCACCATCTGGATCATCAGATGATACAAATGATAAATCCTGTTTTGGTCGTTTTTCATGTCATCCTTGTTTTCCTATTTGTTAGCTTGTTTCGACAAGTTTTAACTTAGTCTATTTTATTCTTAATTCTTTCTACTTATATAAATGTTCTTAACATCTTACACATATATATGTATACACAACACAGTAGAGAGAAGAAAAGAAGAAGGGTGTGGGTCGAAAATTTAGTAAAACGGTCATAACTTTTGAAGGAAGAGCTATAGACCGAAATATCAAATGGGATACAAATGAGTCTAAGCTGGATGTTACATCTCGGGCAGTTCTCTCGTGAATCTATAAAAGATTTTCGCTATGCAACTGTCAACCTATCGAATTTTTGAAAGCTAAAAGTTCAGCCAATCAAGGTTGTGGGTGTGGTTGGACCTCCGGGCATGGTTGGCTAGTTATCTAATATGGTTAGAATACGTATTTATCAGAGTTATTCATGGAAGGAAGCCCATGGAAAACCTATAAGTTGATGCTCCTAATATGGATGGAGCAAAATATCCTCATCTCCTCGTTAGAGACCTGCAGAGTCAGGTCTTTTTTATTTCGAAACCCGACTCCGACTCCGATAAGTTATTGCTTATTACCCATATTAGTAATGCGCCATT